ATCATATAATTATAAATTTATCATTTTAAATGATATTATTTTTTATATTAAACTTTCAAAATTTAAAAATTATATTAGCATTAACTAATTTAAAATTAAATCATAATAAATCACATAAATTTTTTTTAATATGTATTACTATATTTATTAAATTTAAAATTAATATTTATTTAAATAATATTCTAACCCAAATATATGATTTTATTTTATTTAAATTTTATTTAAATCAAAAAATTAAAAATTGATCAAATAACTCAAAAATCTCGCTCAAATATCAAATTCCTTGACATATAAGCAAGACATGACAAGTTTTTTGCTATCCAAGCAGCCAAGCGGGTGTGTCTCAAACGGCAGTTAAGCGAGGCGATGGAGTCCCAAACGACAGTTAAGTTGACGTAAGAAAAAGGACTTAATTACTTTGATGTATCAATTAAAGTCTAAGCGCTTAATAGCGATTCTGGAAATTAACTTATAGTTTTCCCTAATAGAAATCAGCTGAGGTCATGAACTTAAAGAGTAAGTCTCAAAAAAAAAAAAGAATTTATATGCATTGGCGTTGATGGTCAGAGTCTGACTCCCTACGCAGCAATAATGTTTCAGAAAAGACAACAACTTTTTGGTACGGAAAATAATTTTGGTATCTCACACGTATTCGGGCTCAGACGAAAATTAGAGAGAGCCTTTAATTTCCCCATGAGCATGGTTCCTTTTTTTTTAATGAGGACAATTCTTGAGGTAGAAGAAGGGGATTAAGTCTAGTTTTATGGACAATTTTAAGGTAGGAGAAGGGGATTAAATCCAGATTTATGGGTTGAAGACACACATTAATTTCCAATTGACATGTAAAGGTCAGGTGTGTAGCATGGTTCTTTTCTTAACTTCTTAGTAGTGGTGGTACTTATTTAGGAGACTTTTTTTTCTTTATTTCAAATCAAGTTTTCACGACAAAGAAATGGTTTGCACAAAATTTTTTTTTTTTTTGAACGAAACTGAAAATTTGCCATTATCTATTCTAAGGGTACATCATTCAGCTAAAGAGCTTTAAGCTCATTTGAAGGGCAATCAACCTGATATGACGGACATGAATCCCACAATATAGTTGTCGTCACCCAATCCGTAACACCATTTCGTTTCCTAGATATATGCACAAATTCACTACTAAGGTATTTAAAATTAATCACTCAGGTATATTTGGATAAAGGATGTATATTAATAAAGTTTTTTTATTAAAAAGTAATTATAAATATTATATAAAAATTATTAAATTTTATAATAAAATT